GTCTTAAAGTTTGCGAGATTTTCAAAAAATGTGAAAAGAAAATGTTAAAAATAATTTTGAAAAAAAATGTGAAAAAATGTGAATTTTTTTGACAATTCTTAAAAAATTTTGAAAAGATTAATTTGGAAAAAAATTTGAAAATATTTTTTTGAAAACTACATAGGCATCGGCCCTGGGTACTAGTTTATATTATTTCCGGGGAAATCCTTCTGATACTTCATTTAGCTCTTTCAACTTTCACATTCAACATTCACATTGACTCACAAAAGGAAGTGTTTTAATGTTATCTCTTGTGATTTTTTCTGTGTTTTAACACATATAGACATCCAGCAGAGGATTTTTGAGGGAGATAATTGCTTTTGACAATGGTATAAGATCGTTACTTACATATCGGGAAGATATGAGGAATAGCCTTCGAATGATATCGATATTAACTTTGTGATACTCCCCATATCAGAACCCTCCTAGTGAAAAAATACTTTATATGAAACTAAAAGGGGTAACCATCAAGACTCACACCGCTCTTTTACACACCCTTACCCTATGATTAGCAGCAGCAAATCCATCCCTTTTTCAACACTATGATTGTTTGATTCTTTAATTTAACAGCTATGTATTTTATATTGGTCCAAATTTAAGATTTCCAAATCTCATTTGTGCTCTGCCATTGGAAAAGTTGGACAGGTTGTCAAAGTTGTATTCCTAAGCGACCTCTACGGTTACCTGCACATATAAGATGTAAAATCAAAGTTTCAATAAAAAATGATTAAAAAATATTTAAAATGTTTATTCTTACAGTTTTTCAAGAACAATTTTTTAAATTTGCTAAAAGCTACGTTACTCATAATAGTAGTGTAGCGGGTCCCTTGATCATATTCCAGAAATAATTTACATTATTATATACCCAATATGTAACACTAATCCTGATTGGTCAATACCTAGTCACGTGTTCCGAAAAAGATTTACTATTTCCCTCGGAAAGTTATATTCCCTCAAATGTGACGTCAGCGGGAATATACATTTGAACTATTGCCCGTTGACGTCACGATTGCAGCAAGGAGGATTGGCTCCCAGAGTGCACCACCGATATTCTGTCCCATATATGGGTATGTCGTAATACAAAATTCGAATTCAAACAGCCGCCATTTTGTTCACTTCAACATTTAAATCGTGAATTTTGGTCTTATTTCCAAACGAAAAATTCCAAAACTCACAAGAAATGATCGAGATATTGGTTCGAATCTTTTGAACTGTTTATTTTGAATTTATAGTCGGTTTTAATTTCAGAAAATAACGACATTTCGACGTTTTCATTGTTGGAAAATATCGAGTTTCGATCCTGGGAGCCAATCCTCCTTGGATTGCAGCTTCTATTACCCTTGGAAACGTCTGCGCATCATCACTGCGCAGACGAAAAACAGAAAAATGGAGGATGAGCACAAACACAAATCAACTCCGTTCACCATGACAGACGTGCGTGAACGATACAATATAAGCAACATGTATAAAGTTCCCTAAGCTCAATACGTCTGTGTAATTTCAAGTGTTATGATAATCTATTCCGAGTGTTAAACGCGATTAAATTTGTCAAGTGAGAGTCTCAGAGGCAAAAATTTATGTTGAGCATCTGATGACGTCACGGCTTATAATGCTAACAATGGACCCGGGGAGGGGGCTTTCTAAGCCTTTTTGGCCTTCGAGGAAACGGGACAAGAGTCAGTATAGGGTATATAATAAAACAAATAGTGACTGCCTAATTTCGAGCAATAGTGTAAATGATTTACCCTTGGGAATATCCTCTACAATGTACTATTCCCGAAGCCTGTGGCAGTCACTATTTGTATAATAATGTTGTACAGTACATGCATTTTCTATTCAATTAATGACAATTAATCGCGTCATCTAACTTTATATTCCTCTGTGGAAATCCCCAATTATTTGCACCTACACCTTTTGTTTTATACCTTGTCTCATTTCAGGAGCGTTTTAGGTTCGAGTTAGTGACCATATACAACCAATCGATCGAGGCCTACGTCAATATCAGCATATACATGACGTTAATGAAGTTAACACACGATGCATCACTTATGTTGACAACCAAACATGTTATTCCTCAGTGACCGATACTGTCTGTGTGTCGATGCTGTTCACAAACTTGTCATAATGGATGGCTTCATGGTTTAGTTCCTTGCTTTATCCTAGGTCATTTACTATTGGCTTACTAACTTTATGTATATAGTCTTGTTATAACCGGTGCAAAAAGTTTGTTGAAAAGACAAAAATAAGAGGTCTTGCTCTAGGGGTAGTAGCCAATGTTTATCATTTTTAAAACGTGATATAAAAAACTCACTATTGAAGCTTATGCATACGTATGTGTGGCAAGAATAATATAAGATGCATGACAGGCATTTCTGTGAATATCATTTTATAGCGAAGCTGAAGAAGACAGGCCATTTCGAAACTGACCTAAACACTTTGTTCACTGTTCAATCATGAATTTACATGCTGTATCTTTGCATCTTTCTGAAATCCACACTTAGGGGATGGGGTGAAAATTCCAGGTCCTCCCATTTTAGATAACTGGCTTACAACCAGAAAGGAACTCCGCGAATATTGACGGTCGAGAGCTGTGTATAATATGAAAGTACGTTTTAATCATTTTCAATGCTAGAATCATTTTATCCATTACATCGTCGTTGATCGTCACATAATTGCATTCTTCAGTGTTTGCACTGAATGGCGTTAATGTATCCTCGAACGCAGGACAAAAGGAATAAAAAGGATATGATCTGAGGTCCAGCGTTCCAAGGATGAGAAATGACCGAAAAAACAACAAAAGGCATTAACTTGTAAAATGTCACCACCTGCCATTTGTTACAGACGCCGACCGCCGAACGTCAAACGCCGTCTTCCACTTGTGGTGGTGACATTAACACGAACAAGAACCTTTCTTTTTACAAGCATTTCCCATATCCGGCTTCATATCATGTTTACAACACTATCTGGAAAGTTTCATTTTTAGGTTTGTCTTGCATTTATGTATTTTGGGAGCACTAAAAGTGTACATGTTCAATAGACTAGATGCAAGAAGAAATAATATTGATTTACGTCATTAATATTCAAAATTCAGCCAAAGTGATGTCATATTTGAAATCAACATGTAAAGGTATATCTAAAAATACTCTATCGGAAATTGTTTATCATTTTTGAAAATTTAATTTATTTGAAAATGTGACTTCTAGTTCGGGGAGATTCCCCATAGACCACATGTTATAAAATCACAAAAAGTGAAATGTCTCTTTTTGTATTGGACAGATAACATTTTCTTTTACTGGACATATTTTAATTTGCATGAAAATTGAACCACTAAAACTGATGAATATTTAAGTCAAGGCAACTTTCTATTATACCAGCCATGCTAAATGACCAGAATGAGCCACCTGGTGGTGAAACTGGTTACTACATCTGAGTTATTCGCTATGTCAATACCATAGCAAAATAAAAACATCATCATTCGCAAACATCGTGATGAACTAGTAGGTGGACATAAAGCTTCAAAGTACTGTGATGTAACTGTTACAATTTGCTGATAGGTGTAGGTGTCATTTTCTCAAGCAAATAACAAGCGTGTTATCTACACTGGAATTGTGATCAGTAAATTAAATATCAATCTATCATGGTGAAATCTCTAGCAGTGTATTAATATAACAGAGGCTAGCTCTGTGGGTATGGAAAGTATCGCTTCTAATTCGGCATTTTCTTTTATTTACTTGATCGCCTTTCACATATTCAGCTAGTATTGTAAAGGGACCACAATGTTTCAAAGACGCACAAACCTGAAAGATGATATATATTGTATTTGTGACCCATTCAGGCACACCTTCATCAGTCATATCATATGATACATTCCTTCACTAGGAGAATGCAGAGCTCTTAGGAGAATGAATATGATTTTTTGACCATAGTTTATATATATAGGTCCCATGTTAATAGAAAGATGGCACTGGCAGTATAGTGGCTTGGCTTGTCTAAACTGCTACATCTTTCTATCGACATAGTGCCTATGATTTTGGTATCATTTCTTAGAATAAAATAGCTTTCCAATAACATTGCAACTGGTCCGTTTTTCCATTTTGACCAGCAAGTTCCAGATCCTTAGGGCCTACACTCCTTCTATTGAAAGCCCATGATAAAACATGACGTTTTATGTATGGTTATTTTTAACCATACAACCATTCAAACGCATGCGCAGGCGCAATCGAAAGCACGGGGATCCAACAACTCGGACTGACCTGATTCTATATATGCTGGGACTGAACTCAGGGGAGAATCTTTCAAGACAAAAGTGGATCTGAATTAGGTGGTATTCAACAGTTTGTGTTATGAGTGGAGGTGGCTTCAAACATGTTTTGATGGACTGGAGTAGATTAAGCATCGCCAAAAATGTATTGAACATAGAGAAATAGGGAATTGGGGAAATATGTAGAACACTTAAAATAAACATTTTGAGATATGAATAAAGTGTGCAAAATGTCATGATTTGATGTAACAAGATAGGGGGTATTCCCCAAATATAAAATCTTATTTTGGACTGCTCTGGGTACACTAGACACGGGTTGCCATGGTAGCCATAGAATGCTAACAGTAATGTGTTGAGCTATATTTCATTTTTGTTTAATTGGTAGATAACACTCGGTGAAAAAATGCCAACATCTTTGTTTACAATAGTTAGAGCACTTGTCATCTTACTTTATGACCACCCTGTATTTTCATGAAAATTATAGTAACGTGTCAGTTCACATTTAGTTCATTTAGGCAGACGATACGTGCGATCTTTTCAGACTAATTTTTTAAGTATCCTCGTTATTAAATGTTTGACAGATATACAGCACATGTTCAACTCGTCTTGTGATGATTTTCCTGATTTTGGAGAGCAATAAAACACACAGAAAATGAGGAAGTAAAATTTCCGAAAATACTTATTAGGCATATGAACTCAACATAACAACTAACAGTTTCATTTTGATATAGTCTATATTAAAAAGACTTTGACTCGGAACGTGTTATTACAAGAATATATAGTTGGAAATACGATCAACATGAAAGCAATGTCGGCATATAGTAATATGAATGTGTTCTGGGTGTTCATCATTCTTTGCTTACAGAGAGTCGACACTGTGAACATAAGTCAGAATGGCGTTGGAAATGGCGTTAACTCAAACGTGAAGACGGCGATCAAGGATAATCGCATTTCCACTGAACACTATGTTAAGTCATTACGTAAATTCAGAACACGTAAATCAATCAATGACCTGGCTATTGATGCAACCACAAAATCAAACACTTCTGGTTGTCAGTTCAACATTTCTCAAGGGATGAAAGACAAATTCCGAGATTATGTGAACAATAAAAAAATTAACTTTATGTTTATTTTAATGAAATTTTCAACTAATCATCGGAAGAACTACAACAATTATAAAAGTGACAAATATTTCTATCCACTTTATCTCACATGGACCTACAAAGGAGGGCCTGGAGCGGGGTTTCCAATACTGAGTTACCCATACGACTTCAAACTGCGATCACTGGGCTTCCTCTCCTGGCACGTCTTGGACCGTGTCATTATTAACATCAATGTTATTCCGAAGAACTGTAACTTCACTTGGGGTGAGTCGCAGATGATGGTGAATCTCCTAAAAGCAGTGCGCACCATAACTTCTGAGCGCATGGAGCACAACCAAACATCATATTGGTGCTATGGGATAAAGTTTAACCTGTCCGTTGTACGACGTTGGTTGGCACACGTCACAGGTATGGAAAGCGAGTCCACCGGTTATATGTGCAGTACTCCGGATGATCCAGAAACGTTCAGCGAGACATACCACCAAACACGAATGCCGTATTTCCTGAATCTTTTAAGTGTCGCATTGTTCTCGTTTACACCTTTGTTTTTATTCATATTTGATGGAAGAAGAACTCTCCCACAGTCAACTTCGACACGGCCCCAGTTAGCCAACGGAGAGAACAGCTATGAAGTAATCCAAGGCACGGATTGTGAGTCAGATAACGATGAACCAATACTTATTATGGGGGACCAATCGCCGTTTACGTGGTTCAGTTTGTTGAAGAAGTTATTAAGGCTCACTGCCCATTCACCTCACCCCGTCGGAAACAGACTTATGAAATGTTTTGTACTCCTGGTCATTTTACCAAGCGTGGTTTTTGTCGATGTTTGGGTGCATTATACGTACCTATGGGGGTCTCTGATAACCCGAGCTCGCCAGGATATCCCATTGGGATACTTTGCCATACCATTAGGTTATGAACTCAGTAGAAAAAATTGGTTATATTTCATGGGTGGGCCATATGTAATATATGGTTTGTACTTTTTTCTGTCGACTATTCTGATTTGTATACCAGATGACCTTGCGTCTGTCATTGTGTCGCAAGTAGATCGAGGTGACGCTACCGCCGTCTCTGGTTGTCTTCTCTTTCTCCCTACCGAAGTGATCGAAGACAGAGGGGGAATACAATATACGAATAACCCAGCGACAAGTTACAAAAAGCTATCGGACGCTATAAAATGCCGCATTTACATGCTATTACATCCGAAATTTTGGCTCTATTTCTGGAGTGTTTGGAGGGGACGATTGAGGGTTTGCTACAGACGACTTCCTTCCTATGGCCTAATGAAAACAATCGCGTGCATCTGTCTCTTCATACCCGCTTTCGTGATTATAACAGTTCTATTTCTAGTTGATGTGCTCTGCTGTGTGGCCTACTATGGGATACCCATCGTTTTCTTCACAAAAACTATTCTTCACAACTCAGTTGAATATTTCACAAATCGTCTCATGAATCGTGGGTCGAAGCTGCCAGGTTGTGACAAGTTCAAAGAGTGCGCTTTACGTTTTGTATTCTTGTTCATCATTACGTATGTGCTCGCCTGTACGTATACAATTCTTGCCACTACGATCCAAATTGGCATTCGTACTTTTATGTTTGTATTTTATGGTATCCTTGCCTTCCCAAGTGAGGCTATCATGAGTATAATTTTCACATTGATTGGATTGATATATGTGTACAAATCGCTGACGAGTTTTAATGAAGCCTACAACAACTATCTCTACATGACGATAACAATATCTCTTGAGCTAGAAGGGGGACGCCTTAGTGAGACGCTGACAGAAGCCAACGACTATATCAGCCAGAGTACTGCCGTATCGCCATACGTCTTTTACAAAAACGGAGTTCCGGGTATACACGGACACCTGTACGCTCATATAATAGAGCGATACCGACCTGTTAGGATTCGGGTTTTCCTTACCCTCATATACCTAGCGATTGTCGGCGGCTTTATGTATACCAGTATGAGCGTCATCCAGTCATTCAATAGGCAGTCGGAATTGCCTATCATGGTCAAGCTGATCGCCACGGTCGGTGCTGGGCTATTGCCTCGACTGTTCCAGATGTGTTGGGGCTCAACCAACCAAAAAGCAGAGGACGAACAATTCAAATATAAACTCAGAGAGTCGGTTGTAAAGTACTGGGAGAGGCATCATTTGTACGTTCCATTAATTGAACGAAAGTAGTGTGTTTTGGATGTTAAAGTGTAATTAATGACGCTTCTTGATACTTACAGAGAATCTGTACCGCGCAAGCTCATCAGGATTGAACAAATGTGACTTCTAATTAAACTGAATCCTAAAACATTTGTTAGAACTATCAGGCATTCAGTGGTATATCCAAACAAAAAGTTTCCAGATTAATGAATTCACGGTTTTTTCTAATTTTAGAAAATGAAATGTCTCAACTGAATAACACTGAACAATGCCAAGCGTCATTATAAATATTGGAAAAAGTTCGGGCTACCAAGTAGTTCTCGTATTATGTCTAGATTATGCTTTTCTCGAAGAAATAATGGCGGCTGTATAAGTTTTCCAAGTTCCGAAAAACATTTGCAAGAAAGATGGAAAGTTGGCCATCACAAAGAAACAACCAACCCTGGCAAGCTTGCAGATATTCCACAAGTATTCGAGAGCCTTGATGCAGATGCTATCCACAACTCCTGCATATGGACAACTAGCTATAGATGTTTGAAGTAATCCACTTCCTGCACTGATCTTACCTTTGTACCAGGAAGAACTGTGTTGGTTATAGCAAATTATGTGCCATAATGTTATTCCTTCTATTTCTATTAATAAGGAGGAAATAACGATACACGCTAAATTAAATTGTATAGTGTCAAACATGGCACATAATGTAATGTTAAGTTGACATTTGATTAATACTAATTCGAATAATGTTTAAAATATCAAACCAGAACAGATAAACACCAATTAGCAAAACGAAACATAAAAAACAGCTCATCTAACGAGGAAATAAAAAATATCAATCCCAATGTAGGTAACTTCAAATGATAGAAAAACCAATATTCTATAAGGAGAATATGTCAGTCAGAATATTTGGTAATCCAGGACTAGGCTAGAGTTCAATCAAATAAGCCAACCATATCAAATAAAAAAGAACTCAAGTTCAAACTAAGACACCAATAATGTTTAATTTTCCTTATCGAACTTTTGTTCATACTTCTTGTTTGAACTCTTCATCATATCCTCTGTTCGAAAGTATTCTTCAGTATACGACCTGTTGTTCATTTCTATTACGTATTACTATTACAGGTTCGTATCACAAGCACGGTCTTATTGTTCTGGGTTCATTTCTTTTATGTAAGCATGTTATCCAACACTGCCCTCTATTAAATAAAGCAATTGCTTTAACATGCTTATTCTTTGAAATAAAAAAATTATAAAAAAAAAAAATAAAAAAATAAAGCAATTGATTTCTATGTCATTGCTTACAAACTCACAGCTTGACGACAAAGATTGCAATGTTGCTAATCCACCCTTTGCAGACGGAGCCTGTGAGAAATATCGGGTGCGCCATGAATGAGCGGAGGGTGCGGATTTAACGGTCATTTTTGAATTTAAATTTGTGATATTTCTGAAATTAAGCCAACATGGTTCTTCAAATATATCCATATATGTGTAATTGACACCTAATATCAATAAAATTGTGAAAATAGTAGTGTAATTCATCCTATAGAGACGCAAACCACCTTTCCCAGACCTATATATTTTGATATTGTATTTTTATACAGTGTGACAGTTTGGTGAAGCAACGCTGATGTAGTTCAAGTATTATCACAACAAAAACTATCATAATATCATCATAATAGCATAAAGTTTCTATGTTTATTTAGCTTAACATCTCCGAATTTTTATAAAATCACACAGAAACTTTTTCCAAGATGAAATTTCCAAAAATAAATTGTATTGATAGTGTATCTTGAACACCATCTTGTTTATGAATGCTAGAGACGCTGTGTAGAAACGACAATTTCAAAAAATATAAGTCTGGGAAAGGTTTAAAGGCAGAATCAGATCTATAGGGGGCGACAAAATTACAAGCAACTTGTATAATTGACCTACCAATCTATTCCTTACAATATCAAATACAATATCTCCCAAAAGATTCACAATATGTTATAAATTGGTGAAGTTATTAATGATTAAAAGTGCAAAAATGGGTGAAAAATGTTTAAATTCTCCCAAATAATAAGAATGGTAACAATGAATGGTTCTTATAGAAAAATAATACATTATTGTAAAAATCTTTAGTTTTCCTTGAATAAAGTATGCACTTTTGTGATTTTTAGAAAATAGACATGACAAGGAATAACATGAGCCATAAATATTCTAAAATTGAAACAATTTTTTGTTTAGCTTGCTCGCTATATCTGTTTCTCTCTTTAATGCATACCGCGTCTCTATAAAATGAATTACATCACCATCTTCGCAATCTCATTGATATTACATGGCAGCGTCACATATATACTGTATATGAAGACCCAAAATGCCTTACTTTCAGAATTATCACAAATCTAAATTCAAAAATGACTGTTAAATCCGCACCCTCCGCTCATTCATGCCGCGCCAAATATTTCTCACAGGGTCTGCATGGGGTGTAATCGCAATTCAAAACCAAAAGTACGCAAATGACTGTGATTGCCTTCTATATTTGGATTAAACGCTTATTTTGATACTTTACCGAATTTCAAAATCAATTTTAAGTTAATTACAGGCCTTTTAAAATTGCCTTCTGACAAGATTAAATATATCAGAGAACACGTATTTTTTATCAATAAACAGCATATTGTTTTCACGCGCCGGTCGATAGAGAAAGAGTCGAAGGCATGCTGGTAAAATCCAGGAAACCCGGTTCGGTAGACCATGGTTCACTGTTTCTTTCTGTTAGATCAGATTATTATACGTGGTATTTTGTTTACACGAAGACGTCAAACATTACACGTATTACCAGGGATATTGTTCGCGAATATACCCCGGGTGAAATGTTGACTTTGTTTACAGTTCAGTTTATAGAAGGCGTGAATACAGTCGGCAAACCCAGGTTTTGAGGGCGCAGGCTAGGGCAACGAGTGCTCCTGGGTCGATATTAGTTTTGCTAGTCCGACTAAACGTAAAAAAATAAAGACCGGTCAATCATCAAAATTATTAACCGATTATTGTTCAACCGAATTTAGTTAATGAGGTTGAGTGAGACACAGTATAACGATAATATTATACTGGCCGAAGAGATTAGATGAAGACAAAGCTCTCTTTTAGGAAACTAATTCAAACTAATGCAGAGTACAATATACAATTATTGACCTCTCCAGAGGTTTACTGTCAAAATTATATCCCGAGACTGTAAACCGAGACCGTAGGTCGAGGGATATAATTTTGACAGTAAACCGAATGGAGGGGTCTATAATTGTTTTGTTAGTCCGAAGAATATCTTAGATTTTTCTGACCCTTGAAGTTGACTTGAAGTTGGATCCAGACCCTCGAGACGTTCATGTTGTATTTCAGTATATCGGCAGTAAGTTCACTCAATGGAGTCAAATTACTCTCCTGGGCGAAGTCCACTAAAAGCTTTGTACAAAGTTTTAGATTTTTCTTCGTATTTTGACTGTCTTTACTCTCTAAGAGACTAATAATATCCTCATCTTCAACATTTTTGAAACGGCTAGTGCTAGCGGCGGCCATTTTATCGTCTGATAATGACGTCATTTTACTGGAATGCTGGGAATATTATTCACCGGCAATGCATTGCGCGGTGTACAGTTAAAATTATTCACCGCTCGTTGACCAATCAAAATCGAGTATTTCAACTGAGGTACTAACAATAAAATTTATGTTTTTAGAAGAAGCTTTTAGTACATCCGATCCGAAACGTTCTTACAATTGTTGGTGCAAAACACACAGCAACACATCTCGGAATAGCACTAACTTTCTTTTTATAGAAAATTCAACCTCATTCATTATGATTCTGTTTGTGTTGGACAGATGTAATTGAAATAAATTGTTTTTCGATGGGATATCATTATGAAGTCAATCGAAGAAATGCGAAAAATATCCACTTGTACTTTGTAGTCGTGCTGAAGAACCAAAACATGCTATTTTTGTTCCGCTGTATGTGCACTCCCTCCCCTTACTGTATGTGCACCCCCTCCGCTTACGTATCAATTGTACGTCGACAGAAACAGTCACATACCCGTCCTTTCCCAGGATTGATGCACAAAGAGAGTATGAGAGTAGACCTATGGACAAAATTTATTACAAAAGCTGAGCTTGAGTTTCTATTATGTCTGAATGTGATCATTTTACATTGTTACCTGTTGTGTTGATTTACCCCATAGATTTAACTTTTGAAGCACTTATATAGTATTGTTTGGTCAAAGTCCCTTTTGGTCTGTTGAAGTGTTGAAAGAATGTGGGAAATAGTAACACTAAAACAAGAGAAAATGGTCAGGTACGGTAATACCCCCTCGTTTGAAGTTATCGTAAGTGAAATATATTTAGCCACGGTAAGCCACGTTACGTAGCAATTAAGTCGAAGGGAATTAATTACACTTTATAAAGCTACGTAGTCTCTTGACGATCTAGCGATTAATGACCACTGGAAGGTCATTTCGGAAGTGATTAATGTGCGGATTGCCGTGATAAAGCATCGGTTTTATTTGGAATATATTTTAATGTGTGCCTGCAGCAAGCGTTATCGGAATCTACAGTCAGTAAAACAGTAATCAAACCTTTCGGCACAAGATTAATAACATCTTATCATCGTATCTGTCAAAATTGCATGACACTATTGACAATCGTCACGGTAATAAGTATTTATCCAGTTATTTACATCATAACAAACTCAATTGCTATGGATTTTATACGTTAACTTTTGCGGAAAACATAACAAACTTATTAACATTTAATTAAATACAACATTAAACAGTTCTCTCGAGGATTCGTACGAAGAGGGACTGTGAACAAGAATACAACACGTACAATGGACTATTGGTAATAAGTCAATGCTAATTGTAGATTTGTTTTTTCACGTGACATAAAACCTATTGAATGATATCAAATTCTACGTATAAATGACACGCGATAAATCATTTCTGACATTCATAAAACATGCTTATTGTACATCACTTATACTGACTCGTACTCCAGATACATTTAAGTAGTTTGTGTGTATTTTATAATATAATTTCGAAGCAGGGTAAAGGATTATGTTGAACGATTTGTTTGTAGTTCTTTTGAAATCAGAAGTATGAGAAAAGTGAAATGTGTGACTGACGAAGAAATGAAAACATGATCACACGTGGATACAATATAAAACTACAAACAAATCACTGGGACATCGTTGGATAAAAGTGATATTCCATAAATTGTTGGCCGATCAGACTGGTAAGACAGTACCTGAACTGTGATAAAGACTTAATAACTTCATTTTTGATTTATGACTTTAGATTATTTAGATACAACAGGCGGCATCGTAGCACTACACAAGCACCAGTGATTGATTGTCAACTTATAATTAAATACTATGAACTGGGTTAACTAATCTAATCTAAAGTCATTAATTAATACAGCAAGACTGAATTAAAGGAAATTCGTCAACACGGAATTACCTTGAAGTGGAGCAGGAAAATCTGATATTGTTAGAAATCGGCAGACACATTTTTGACTAAAGGAAAGATGGCACACTGTAATATGTATGATAAAGTATTGGAAGTATTACGTCAACCCACAGCGGATCGAAAGGATTTCGAAATCAACTCAGTCCTTCCCTGGTTTAGGAAGAAATCTGATCTGTTCTCAAAGCTAAAAACAGGTAGGTGTAAAAGTTCAAAAATGAGAACACTACGTGACAGTGAATAACTCCAAATGGTTGTTCTCTGGTACATTAATGCAAGAACGTTTTCAACCTTAAAGGGGCAACAAGGACTGTAGAGAGAAAATATTTGGCTTAACATCTTCTTTGACATACCTATTTTCTTAGAATATATGGATAAACTATCAATTTAATCAAGCATTAAGAAGTTCAAAGCTTCTATAGAGGGAGTCCCACTTATAGATTTTTAAGATCCACCACGTTTCAAGAGGAATATTAGCTGAAATAAAATTCATCCAGAGGGTTTCCTTGCAGATAATAAAATATATATGTTAGTCTTGATGAAATATCCGAACTTAAATATATTTTGACACTGGTCGATGATCGTTAAATGCCCCCCCCCCCCCCCTTGTACTAATTGTTGCACCTGTAATATATTCTCAGACAAATTAACACCATACGATCGATCATTGACCTTTTTACAGCGCACAAATTTTGGTGTTTATCTTGCTTGTGTATTGTTTAAAAAAACAGATCATATTCACTTAAGTACCTTTAACCTCGTTTGACCTCAATGTGCACTAATCATTAACCCCAAAAACATATCTTAAAAAAGCTCTTAACATATATATTTATTCATATACGTTTAAACCTTCTTTAGAATCGTTTACAATAGGTATCTAAGTCGAATATCGTTCAGATTAGGAGTCCATTTATTGAGTTCTATTGTGTTATTGTTCGTCCAGAAATGTTTGACGGGTGACCATTTTTTAAATCATCAACAATCTGAATAGTTTCTAAAAGGGGTATTATGATTTTCCCTTGCTGCATTGAATACTAATCTGATCGATTTATCATTTTCTTTTTGAAATAGGATCGAGCCTTTAGCTTTCTAATATGATTCATAATTTATATTTTTGAATATGGAGTATTCGAATCGTTTACTGGTTACCATGTCAACAGCATAAACATTAATTGTTCTAGCTTTTAAATTATCACCAAGTTCAAATTTTCTTTGGCCTTTCCTTTATTTGTGACATGCCATCCCTAGGGAATAGGCGCCTAGAACTAAATACAAGAAGACACATATAACCTAGGAAATATAGGTATTAGAATTCATAGCTACATTGATAGTGTGTATAAGAAGTTGAACCCCACTAAACGAAATGCAAATTTTTATTTATTTATTGAATTATTGCTTTAAAATCTACATCCTTATTTCTAATCCTTCAACTTCCCACATCATTTTGAATAATAGTATAACATACTTGAAGGAAAGTATTTTTAATTCTTTATGTCGGGAAATGCACATATGACAATATTAGAGAGTGAAAACTAAATTAGTTGCCATGGTAAACAATATTGACAAAAATAAGGAATATATGTGAACTAGATAAAGAGATAATGTATTCATGATTAAACTTTAGATGAGAGAACATGTCAAACCTTAACCCTTTTTCCAAATTGACACGTTCTCTCCACTAAAGTGTAGTGGAAAAATATAAATATCTGTATAAGAAATCCTGATGTATTTTATATTTGAAACTGCCTACAAGTATATCGGACAAAAAAATCCAAACATTTGGAATTATCGTCATTATCGTGCAATTAAAAAGCAATGGTACATAATGATTATGCCAATCTTGCGCGTTTTGAATAGATTTTACTCCTCGTTTTATTGGACTTCAAACAGAAATAAAAGTGAGCCGCAAATGATATACTCATTGCATGGAGAAGGTACTTTACTTTGCTATAACTAAACATATGATTTTGTGAAGTTTTCTTAGTGTTTTTATGAAAAATAGCATGCTTCAGATAATATTGCAATCTTCTGTAAAATGCCTCTGATTTGAGAGCAATTAGACATACCAGGTCGTTTAATAAGATCATGGGAAAATGCTCTCATTTAAAAGATTCTTGATATCTTCCCATAAAATTTCCACACACTGTGCAAAAGATACTTTAGGATTGATTCTTAAAATATCAGCATCTCCTTATTTGATTGGTCAAAAAAGGGTTACTATGGTAACTTGACTTTTGGGTAGGCGGGGCACTTTTTACGTCACATTATTCATTAGAAAAACTACAGAATAATAGGCAATTCATGAGTATATTATTTTTGACCAATCAAATAAGAGACGCTGATATTTTAAGAATCAATCAGAAAGTGTTTTCTATACATTGTGTGAAAATTTCATGAGAAAATATCAAAAATCTTTGAAATGAGAGCATTTTTCCGTGAACTTATTGAACGACCTGGTACACCAGAGAGTTTTCAAAATTACCGAGAATTCGTGTAGTAATTCGTTCCCATGGTAACAGGAGCCGAACAACAATCGTTAACAATATACAAAATACTTGTGAGGTAGTTTTGTCAAAATCCCTATCCAATATTCTTTTCAAATTATTAAATCCACAACATCAAATCGAAAAACGAAAAACAGATGACATATGATTAATTCTTAATTGTTAATTCTGAGCTTGGTCTTTACACAACTTGATTGATTTGCCTCGCCCATATGTAACTAGTACTTTGTTATAAAAACAAGCACTTTTGGGAAAACAATGCATAAACACGTTGGTATTCAGGATTTGACTGAACTAACCAAAGATCAAATATAAGTGTTTATATACCTCTTAAAATCTAAAATATTACTGTCACCTGTCTTAATCACAATAAAAAGTAATAAAACGACTGGATTGATTTATATGAAAGATAGACTGTCAAGATTATCGAAAATGAAATTTAGTTTAAGGTTAGCTTGACCTTAACACTATCTAAATGTTTAATTTCAGATTGTCAAGTAGCTTAAGTCGTGCCTTTTGTTTTACTCTCGGATTATACATGACGACAAACGGGTGCATTCTTATAAAGAATTCCTACATGAAATAGTTAAACAAAATGAAAGCCAAATTCCTATAATTGGTTTATAACAGTTTAATATTATATGGGTCCATTATTTTATCGAGATCCTTCATAAACACTGTCACAGTCCGATTGACGTTTTGAAGACGAGTTTAAGTACAAAAATAAAAAACGTGACTGCTACTTGTCATGGTTATAATATTGTCATCTGTAGTCAACATATACAGTATATTAATTCCCATAGCGATTCAATAGTAACCAAATTATTAGAATCATGATTTCCTTCCTTTACTGATTTCCAGGATTTCTCGTTGATATTATAAAGTGTTGCAGCCTGGAGACGAGAGAGAGGGATGATATACTTATAAAACAAGGCGACAGAGGTGACTGGTGAGTACAGCAATTAGATCATTCAAAGTGATATAGAGAGGACTGGCAAAGTAACAGAGGGGACTAGCAAGGTGACGTGACAGAGGGGACAGGCAAAGTAACAGAGGGGACTAGCAAGGTGACGTGACAGAGGGGACAGGCAAAGTAACAGAGGGGACTGGCAAAGTAACAGAGGGGACTAGCAAGGTGACGTGACAGAGGGGACAGGCAAAGTAACAGGGGGACTAGCAAGGTGACGTGACAGAGGGGACAGGCAAAGTAACAGGGGACTGGCAAAGTAACAGGGGGACTGACAAAGTAACAGAGGGGACTAGCAAGGTGACGTGACAGAGGGGACGGGCGAAGTAACAGAGGGGACTAGCAAGGTGACGTGACAGAGGGGACAGGCAAAGTAACAGGGGACAGGCAAAGTAACAGGGGACTGGCAAAGTAACAGAGGGGACGGGCGAAGTAACAGAGGGGACTGGCAAAGTAACAGAGGGGACTGGCAAAGTAACAGGGGGACTGGCAAAGTAACAGAGGAGACTAGCAAGGTGACGTGACAGAGGGGACAGGCAAAGTAACAGGGGACTGGCAAAGTAACAGGGGGGACTGGCAAAGTAACAGGGGGACTGACAAAGTAACAGAGGGGACTAGCAAGGTGACGTGACAGAGGGGACAGGCCAAGTAACAGGGGACTGGCAAAGTAACAGAGGGGACTGGCAAAGTAACAGGGGGACTGTCAATGTGACAGAATGGACTGGCAAAGTAACAGAGGGGACTTGCAAGGTGACAGAGGGGACTGGCAAAGTAACAGACAGAGGAAACTGGCAAGGTGACAAAGGGGACTGGCAAAGTAGCAGAGGGGACTGGCAAAATAACAGGGGGACTGGCAAGGTGACAGAAGGGACTGGCAAAGTAACAGAGGGGACTGGCAAGGTGACAGAGGGGATTGAAAAAGTAACAGAGGGCACTGGCAAAGTAACAGAGGGCACTGGCAGAGTAACAGGGGGCTGGCAAGGTGACAGAGGCGACTGGCAAGGTGACAGAGAGGACTGGCAAAGTAACAGAGGCACTAGTTATGTGGCAGAAGGGACTGGCAAAGTAACAGAGGGCTCTGGCAAGGTGACAGAGGGGACTGGCAAAGTAACAGAGGGCACTGGCAAGGTGACAGAGAGGACTGGCAAAGTAAAAGAGGCACTGGTAATGTGGCAGAGGGGACAGGCAAAGTAACATAGGGCACTGGCAAGGTGACAGAGAGGACTGGCAAAGTAACAGAGGGCACTGGCAAAGTAACAGAGGGAACTGGCAAGGTGACAGAGGGGACTGGCAAAGTAACAGAGGCACTGGTAATGTGGCAGAGGGGACTGGCAAAGTAACATAGGGCACTGGCAAGGTGACAGAGGGGACTGACAAAGTAACAGAGGGCACTGGCAAAGTAACAGAGGGCACTGGCAAGGTGACAGAGGGGACTGGCAAAGGAACAGAGGGCACTGGCAAGGTGACAGAGGGCACTGGCAAAGTAACAGAGGGCACTGGCAAGGTGACAGAGGGGACTGACAAATTATAACAGAGGGCACTGGCAAGGTGACAGAGGGGACTGGCAAAGTAATAGAGGATACTGGCAATGTGATAGGGGACTGGCAAAGTAACAGAGGGCACTGGCAAGGTGACAGGGGGGACTGGCAAAGTATCAGAGGGGACTGGCAAAGTAACAGAGGGCACTGGCAAATACACACACTACACCATATAAGATGAAAAGGGGACAACAATAACAACAACAACAAAAACAACATGACAGTGAACACTGACAAATACAGACAATTAGACAATAAAAACACAAAGTGACAGAGAAGACTGGCAAATGCATAAAAAAATTACAAAAAAAAATGACAGAGGGAGAACTGACATGTTTAGACATCAAAGTGACAGAGGGGACTAGCAAGTACAGAAACAAGTGCATCACACAAAATGACAGGGGGACTGGCAATGATTTTAAATTCACAATTTAAGATCATAATTTTGTAAAATAAGAGTTCCTCGATGACAAGCTCTGCATAATTACGACGGTCTCACATATACATACATTCAACTTTCACACTCTAACAAGATTACAACAGCGATGCAAAATTCTGCTTCATTTTAGCTTCTACATATGCCTGAGTGGTAAGGTGACGATATACATCAATTATGCGAACAAAGAAGAGAAACAACAACGTGCAACAGATGATGCTGATGGAGAAGAAGACACAAAAATTGTTACACAACATCCAAAAAAGGTCACAGACAGATCTAAACTTGGAACATTTGTCATAACTCTAGGTCAGTATCAGGAATATACATAATCAAGAATTTTTACATCGCAAATGTTTTCCTTTCATTTTAGATTGTAACTCTAGACTTAAATATTTTACAAATCGTACAATTTCCACACGAAGGAATTCCCGGTTGTTGATTAAAGCTCAATTTCAACATGATTCGTAGTAAATTGTAGATGTTATTGATAATTTCTCTTATTCACCATTCACACCATTGCAGGTGCTGGGGCGACATTTGGAGAAGTTGCCCTCATCACGGAAGACAGCGTCAGAACAGCAAGTATCGTATGCGATGAACATACTGACGTCATCGTTATAGACCGGAATCTCTATAACAGATCTGTGAAATATGTTCTAGAAAAGGAATTCGAAGAAAAAACTAATTTTATCAAATCGAATCCTTTCTTTCAAAACTGGGCACCGAAGTATAAGAAACAGTTGGCTATGGCTTTTGAAACGATCAAGTTTCCATACGAGTCTGCCATAATTAAACAGGGTAACCACGTTGATGCCATCTATTTTATTCTAAGGTAAGTAATAAATCAAATATCACGTCAACTTCTCGTTTTAATAGGGAGGTTAAGATTAGCGCAAATAGCTCACGTATAGTTTGTTAATGCATCCAGAAATACAAACATACGGATAGTATGCAACTCCCGATCATCAACTTTTACTTTAATTTCTTCAAAACCTCCTATAGTATTGCCTTTGAATTAAATATACACTTCGAAGGTATAAATTACTTCATCATTAATATAGAATAAAAACGTTTATCTCACGTTCCAGAGGTGAAGTAAAGATGGTAGTTGATACAACCATGCACCATGTACAATATCCCAAGCTATGTCCTCATGAGGACGCAGCTCTGGACACTCACAATGGCACGTCGCCTGGGTCTCCGTAAGTATAGTCAACAACCCAGTTAGTAAACTGGTATAATGTAGCCTATTATAAGCAACAGGGAAAATTGAAAAATAAGAGGAATAATTTCCAGTTAATTTTTCATGGATGTAGGCATTTGAAAGGATATCATTTTTTGATACTTAAGATTTTCTGGAAACATATCCCCTATCATACCTGCCATCTGAAACTCAGCTGCCATCTTTATTCATAATCTAATCATAAAATACAAAGTAACCTGGCTTGTAAGACAAATAACATCGATTTTCCTTTTTGATAGAATAAGATGGTTTATAAGTGTGCGGACTAGTGTATACTAAAGAAGACATTCTTTATAACTTTTTATTCTGGACTTTTGATATTTTTAGAAGAATAAAAGATACAATACAAAACAATACCTGTCATTTTAGAAGCAAAAGTTAAGAATCTTAGATCAGAAAATACAATACACTTATTTCAAACACATTAGATTTGAACATATTATTTTGAGAAAAAATATTTTATGTTTTAATATTTCTGTACCATGGTTTCAGAAAACTAAAATTCCAGTAAATGTGTTCTCTGAACCGTTTTCAGCGCTGATATATTTTCAACCAAACCATTGAAGGATGTACACGATGCATTTGTGAAAGTATTGCTTTTAGATGCGTGTGGCAACTGCAATTTTATCCTAAACTTAATTTTTAGAACAAAAGGTCCTTCAAAAATTTGGGGAATTCAAAAAAGTTTCATGCATTACGTTTTAATGATAACTGCATATTCACATAAGGCCTTTCATAAAAGAATGTGTTTGAAATTGATGACATTGATGAACGCATTATTTAAAATCACCATTCCTAATGTAGGACATCATGAAACTCATCATATATCATTTAGAATAACAACCTTTGGTATGGCTAATAGTATAGTTTCCATATAGCTTTTGAAATCTCGCTAAATCTCGTTTTTCGTGAGATTTTAAGAGACTTGCATATTAGACCTCTAATGACTTACATTACTTTCTTTTAAATGGTATATTTGAATTCAGTGGAATGTTTTCTCCTAAAATAGCTTTGATTTACACAGTTATGTAATTTGAATAATTTTCTATGACAATTTAAAAAAGTTGGGCCAAATGTCCATAGATGCAATGCTAAAATTCTTTAAAACCGTGGATTATTTGTATGTCAATCAACATTAGCATGTTTAATCACAACATGTTCATAAACAGGGTCATCATGTGGTATATCATTCAAGTTTTATACAGATTCAACAAACACACTTTGATAAATCATGAAATTAAGCCACTTTTCCAAGATTTTAGCATGTAAGTGAATGGAGCTCTAGCCAGAGTTAAAAGCTGAATTAAAGATGGCAGCACGAGATTTCATTGATTTTTCTGCTATTTAGAAACTATCCTATTCATCGAAAACAAATTAAACGAAAATAAATTTTTATCAGTTTTAGCCTTTATATAAAGAATTTTAAAAACTCCATTTTAATTTACTAAGTAATCCAACCACATACGATCATTGTAGTTGTCTATATTTGAAGATAATTGGATCCTTCATAACACGCGCTGGTATCTTGCTATGTCGCAGTAATCGTTTGATCAGGATATGTTTTTAAAAACATGAATACAAAAACAGTCTTCCAATTTCCTCCGACATTACAGAAGTACTTTCATCCGCTATTGTCTTCCTGGCTAGCCTCGTAAAAGCAGCCCTCTATTTGGTTTATTTATTACTGTAGGTCCATCCACAGGCGGGTAATGTCGGGTGAGTCAACAGGTTCAGACTCTCCCAACCTCTCCATATACAGACGAAAGATTGGCAAGAAACCATTAGTCGATGTTTGTTACCTTGGTGTAAATGAATGCATTGGTAGGATTTACTTTTGATCTTGAATAATTTGAAAGATTGGCAAGAAACCATTAGTTGATGTTTGTTACCTTGGCGTAAATGAATGCAATAGTAGTATTTACTTTTGATCTCGAATATAGTTGTTAACTCCTGAGTCACACCCACCTAGTTCTCCAAACTTCCTATCCTGTTTAAGAACGTAAACTGAACTGTGGTTGTGGCGACATGTCCTAAAAACAAAGATAGTTCCCTTCGTTCATAACTTATGGTCTCCAAGGCCCGTTCGGCGAAGAATAAAGTGAGAACTAGTAAGTTTATTGTGACTCGGGGGAAATTAGTCCAACAAAAATGTTAAAGATACACCTTTGATACAAAAATTCGAATTGATTATGAATAGAGAGTTTCAAGATGCAACCTCACCCTCATTGTGATCTAATCTGGTTTAAAAACTGATTTTAGGAGACACAGAGGTACTATTAGAAATGCCCACATTCTTCCACAGTGCAATATGTACGCAGGAAACCGAGGTGCTAATGCTGGAGACAAAACATTACGAGCGTCTCCTGGTGAAACGTAATCCACAGGCCATAACTGCTATGACAGATAGCCTCGAGTTGAAACTACAACACAGAATCAACGAGAAAGTTCTTCTGTCGCAATTGCTCTATCATAAAACCAAGGAAATAAATGATGAAGTGAGACGACAAAGCCAGGCAAGGAGAGTCGACCATAAAAAGCATCCTAAAGCACATATCGGCTCTGATGCGTTCATTCCTACGACAGGACCCCTTGTAGATATGTATGGCCCAGGGACGGTATTCCACAGAATACGACAACGGGAACACTCAAAGCAGGCCAAACTAAAGAAAGACAGGTCTTATAATGCAACTGTCTATAGTTCCGCTCATTCGGATGACGGTAGTGACAGTGTGTATGACGGCGATGGTTACCTCATTGATACTGACATACACCACTGTGCCAAAAAGGCTATATAGTAATAGAATCTCCTGTTAACTATGCTCTAATATCAACTGTCATAGTGTGAAATATCTCCCGTATCTCCTGTGTTGTAGAGACACAACCTATACCAAGAGATTTGGCGGACAACTAGTATAGTTAGTACTATTTTCAACTCTTCGAAATATGAGCTAATATAGGCTGCGTTATATATCTAGGCTAACAAATAGTTTGCCTACCACTCTATAGAACCAGACATACCCGCCGATTCTATGGAAAACAGCTTCTTCTGGCCTATTTCAGGATATATTATTAAATCAGAGCTCTAAAAACAGGAGATACGCTAACTATACGAAATGACGTCATCGATTCTTATTTCTTTAACTTACATGTATCTGGCTTATTAATGATTGACAATGCACTGTCAACGTTAAGTAATTAAAAAAACAAAATAAAACTGATAGATTCACTTTATACATATTATTTAGTCAGATATAGTATTAATAGAGATGATTTTTATCATTAACACTTGATGAAATCGATTTGGTCATATTTATCGATCCAAACTGGTGATTGTAGTTTATTAAGAATTTTTTCTGTTCAAAAAAAATTATTTTCTAGTATTTTCCAATCTAAGCCGAAAATATCAAATTACATTATTTTGATTGTTCTATTTCTATTTGAAAAATATTTACAAAATAAATATTTTAGAAGAAAGAAAGAAATTTAATTTGATTTAAATTAATGTTAACAATGGAGTAAAAAATGTTAAGAAAAGTCATCAATTAAAAATCAAAAAGTAACTTTCCAATGAGTTAATCGATTCAATTCAAATTTTAACACAATGTTAATCATAGAATGAGGGACAATATACAATCATATAAATATGAAAAACTTAATTTGCAAATTATTATTTTTGTGGAAATTAGAACAATCGGCTCTAGATATTAATCCATTAACTCTAATAAGCGGATTAGTTATCAGTTAACAAAACTCATTCATACAAATTGAAAATAACTTAGGGATTAAAGTATTACTTCTATTTCTCTGACATCAATACATGTATGTGAATGGTGAAAATCTGCATGATTTTGAAAGAATTGTTGGCCAAGGGGAGGGAATCGTTACTTGTTAGGTACTGGCCTGTTTAAAATGCGTAATGTATTTAGCTAAAATTTGAGCAGTTCTGTGTCTATCAAGACTATTTTTGTGGTTTGCAAAGTGAATACAGGTGGTTGTTTGTGCCTGTGTAAGAGGGGGCCTTAAATGTTTTTTTGTTGTAAACTTAATGTAGTAGAGAAACAATGGAGTAAAAATGTCAGAAAACCCATTGATTAAAAATTAGCTTTACTTTGAGTCAATCAATTAAATCCAAATGTTAACACAATGTTAATCATGACATTAGGGACATTATGCAATCAAATAATTATGAAAAAGTTTTCAAATTATTTTTGTGGAACTTAGAACTGTTGGCTGTAGGAAATTAATCCATTACCACTAACAAATGGATTAGTTGTTAGTGTTAACGAAACTCATATTAGAGAAATTGAATAATTGGGGATTAAAGTTTTACCTATCATATTGCTCTGACATACTGCGTGTCAATATGTTATTTACATAGTTTGTACTACCATGCTCCAATTTGCTCAATGTGTAATCATCGCTTTGTCAGATGAAACATTAGGAATTAATGTAAAATGTATCCGCTTCTTTATTTCCATTATCAAACAACTAAACATACCGAATCTCGCACCTTTTGAATATATATATTTGGAAATGGAAAACAAAGAAAGGTTAATAAAACTAGCTGTAATAAAAAGAAATAGTCCAATTGTAGTAGAAACAAATGTATTACATCATGGCCTAATCTGTTGTTTATATCTCTGGTTTATATCTCAGATAATTATTATATTGATAACAGAAAAAATAAATTGTTAAATGTGAGAGAATTCAAGTTATAATTTTGATTTAGCATGGTTTGTATCATGCAAACTTTAAGCATGTGTCCTAATTTATTATCAGAGATTTTTCAGAAGAGAATACAAGTTTTAATTTTGTTTTAGCATGGCTTATAACACCACTTGTATCATGCAAACTTAATACATGTTTCCTAGTAATTTATCATTATCAGAGATTTGTGGGAAGAAATCGGAGCAATACATACATGTATTACAGCCTCGTAATAAGTTTTAGCCCTGAGGATCAATTTTCAAAACATACCAACGGGTCACAATTTGTCAATTTCGGCCCATAATCACTTAACAGTGCCCAGATTGGTAAAACTAAATAGGATTTTGACAGAGAAACAATTGAGTTAAATTGTGAGGAAACCCAATGGAGTAAAAATGTGAGGAAACCCATTGATTAAAAATTAACTTCCCGTTGAGTCAATCAATTAAGTCCAAATTTTAACACAATCTTAATCATAACATAAGGGACATTATACAATCAAATAATTGTGAAAAACTTAATTTGCAAATTATTTGTTGGTTCAAATTAGAACCATTGGCTGTAGAAATTAATCCATTAACTCTAACAAACAGATTATCTATCAGTGTGAACAAAACTCAAATCATGGAAATTGAATAATTAGGGATTAAAAATTGGCTTATTACATTGCTCTGGAATGTCAATACATGTATGTGAATGGTGAAAAACTACATGATCTTGAAAGAATTGTTGGCCACGGGTAGGGGGGGGGGGGGTCCTTAGGTACGGGTCTGTATAAAATGCATAATGTGCTTATTGAATATTGAGCAGTTCTGTGTCATGACTGATGTTTTGGTTGGCAAAGTGAATGGTTGTTTGTACCTGTGTTAGAGGGGGATTTAAATGTTGTTTGCTATAAACTTAATGTGACAGAGAAACAATGGAATAAGAATGTGAGGAAAACCAATTGATTAAAAATTCAAAAATTAACTTTACAATGATTTAATTGATTGAATAAAAAATTAACACAATGTTAACCATAACATGAGGGACATTATACAATCAAATATATATGAAAAAGTTTTCAAATTATTTTTGTGGAACTTAGAACTGTTGGCTGTAGGAAATTAATCCATTACCACTAACAAATGGATTAGTTGTTAGTGTTAACGAAACTCATATTAGAGAAATTGAATAATTGGGGATTAAAGTTTTACTTATCATATTGCTCTGACATACTGTATGCCAATATGTTATTTACATCAGTTTGTTCTACCCCCGGGGTTCTACCATGCTCCAATTTGCTCAATGTGTAATCATCGCTTTGTCAGATGAAACATTAGGAATTAATGTAAAATGTACCCGCTTCTTTATTTCCATTATCAAACAACTAAACATACCGAATCTCGCACCTTTTGAATATATATATTTGGAAATGGAAAACAAAGAAAGGTTAATAAAACTAGCTGTAATAAAAAGAAATAGTCAATAGTCAATTTCGGCCCGTAATCACTTAACAGTGCCCAGATTGGTAAAACTAAATAGGATTTTGACAGAGAAACAATTGAGTTAAATTGTGAGAAAACCCATTGATTAAAAATTAACTTTCCGTTGAGTCAATCAATTAAGTCCAAATTTTAACACAATCTTAATCATAACATAAGGGAGATTATACAATCAAATAATTATGAAAAACTTAATTTGCAAATTATTTGTTGGTTCAAATTAGAACCATCGGCTGTAGAAATTAATCCATTAACTCTAACAAACAGATTATCTATCAGTGTGAACAAAACTCAAATCATGGAAATTGAATAATTAGGGATTAAAATTTGGCTTATTACTACATTGCTCTGGAATGTCAATACATGTATGTGAATGGTGAAAAACTACATGATCTTGAAAGAATTAGGGTAGGGGGGGGGGTCCTTAGGTACGGGTCTGTATAAAATGCATAATGTGTTTATTGAATATTGAGCAGTTCTGTGTCATGACTGATGTTTTGGTTGGAAAAGTGAATGGTTGTTTGTACCTGTGTTAGAGGGGGATTTAAATGTTGTTTGCTATAAACTTAATCTGACAGAGAAACAATGGAATAAAAATGTGAGGAAAACCAATTAATTAAAAATTCAAAAATTAACTTTACAATGATTTAATTGATTGAATAAAAATGTAACACAATGTTAATCATAACATCAGCTGTAGAGATTAATCTATTAACCCTAACATACAGATTAATTATTGGTACAGTATGTACCGAAGAATGCTGTACATTACCTAAAACTTAAGTGCTAAAATTACAGTTCTTTATTTTATTAAACTTTATTGATAAACAAGAGATAAAGAATATGGTTCAGATTCTCCCTATTTGTTTATTTAATGACTTAACTACCGGAGTAATTGTTAATAAGCCAGATAAGTGATGTTACCTAATTAGCGTTGCAAATTATGAGACTTGATGACGTCATTTCGTATAGTTACCGTATCTCCTGTTTTGGAAAGTCTAATATGAGAGTATCTCCTGATATAAGCTGATATCTGCTGTTTTTAGCACAGAATAGGCAGCGTATCTCTTGTTCTTCATGTCCGATATTGTATGAATAGTAAAGAATAGTCAGTGTTTTAAGAGTATAAATAGAAGATGTATAGTATAGTTAGAAAATCTCCTGATTACCACGGGTATAATATGGGACCTATTCTGTGGCATACCATCAAATAGTTAAGTAGAACTGGTTCAATACGCAAATTTGTCCGTATCAGAGATATTATATCTAACTATATTTTGGGGGATTCTAGAGATATATACAAACTATTTGTCCACATCTCTTGAAATAAAACGAGAGATATCGCACATTTTGCACAGTGCACAATCGAGTCAAACCATCAATCGATGAGCATTATATAGACGATGAAACCAGTGATTTAGCGCTTCAAGATTTAGAAAACAGAATGCGAGACTGGCTTTTGTGTGAAACTAACAAAACTAAAACTCCTCGTGTTACGCAACTGCAAAGAGCTCCTGTCGAAGTTAGTTGCCTTTTCTTCTTATATTTAGTAGTTGATACACTTATATTACATAAGTACCAAACCTTGCAGTGGTTACTCTTTTACCTTCATTTTATATTCAACTCTATAAATTGTGAAAATGTCTAAACAATATGGAGCTCGTTATGTTGAGAAATCATTCGATCTCTCTATTATTCCGTCTTACACACATCTTACTAATCATAATTTGGGCACCTAGTAGCAATTGATGGACAAAACAACTATTGTATTACTAATAGGGGATTTCTCCATTATTGACAAGTTATGCTATTCTCAAATCGATTGCATTTTGTGTTACAATGAACTCTTTATATATTATTGAACTATTGGAACCTTAATCATATAGTTATTTTCAAAATTGACACCTGTTGAAGTCCCCCCTTCGGGAATCAATATTGTACCAATATCACCTCATGAAGAGCCTTAGAAGTGCAACTAAATGGTATTCTTACATCCTATAATCACTGATCCCCACCTGGTTTTAAAAACGGTTTGTCTTTATAACAAAATGGATAAACTTCCATTAGAGAAAATTTGTAAGATTTTCATTTTCATCATTTTCAACAAGGAGGAATGATTTGTATACATTTATTTTACCCTTATGTAAAAGTAACATTCAGATATACTAAAAAGCTAGTCAGTCACGAGCAAATCCATCCAGTAGCTCCAATAATCGAGCGAGAATTCACTTAATTTGGCAACCAGGACGTTATATGGTGAATTTCATAACTTCTTGGTTGCGTTGTGTTAATAGAGTACGAAAAAAGTTCAACTACGACCGATTTTTTGGTCCAATAAGTCATAGAAAAGCACTGCTTGCTTTGCTTTAGCGTTACACAGTTTTATCACAATTCATTGAAGGAATTGGAAACTATAGCATAAAATAAATGTAATATTTTTGGACCAATCTTACAAACGTCATGCCAATGTTTTCCTGGGATTCCGCTGCAATGAAATAAGAACTGCTGGACTTTAAAAGAATGAATTGAATAATGAAAACAAAACCAAAAATGTTGTAAAATATGACAATTTTTTGAAATTTACTCTCAACTTGTCCCTATCCCTTTAGTCCCTTAAATGAGTTAAACATTAGAATACGATTTGTATTCAATGGGCGTTAATGTCTTGTAAGACTTCTGAGATGATTGACACTTCAAGGGCGCTAATTTCCAGCTTCCGACCCAGACCTCACAGGCAACATAAATCATGGTCTTAAAGACACACTGACTAAGCCACATCCGTACATCCTTGACTGAACTTGCTATTCTACATGCTAATTGGTAAGGGGTTGGATCACAAAATCGTCAAACTACTTAATTTGTGCATTTAAAGTATGCGGTCGGGGGAACAGGCGTTTTGCTTTACGACATAAATGATTCTGATTCCCAGGGTACATATTATTTGGTGTCCTCGCATGTTTCGTCCAGTGTAGTCACATCGCCGTAAACAGTCGTGGCGGTTTCGTTTGAGAAAGAAGGTGGGCAACAGTTTATAAGGTTTTGACGATTTATTGAACCAACCCCTATTACCAATTTCGAAATGATATAATTTTAGAATAAGTCTATTTATATGTTTTAGGGAGAGCGGACACAATTAAAACCAGGGGCAAAAATAGTGATCAGACCGAAAAGAAAAGTAAAGTTAAAAACATGAACACTTCCGGCTATGTCAACAAATGAATGAATCACTCTTACAATGGAAGGCGATTGTAGCTGCGCTTTGGATAACACCAATCAACGTGAACAGTGCCATATCAGACATGACTAATAGTACCCATGCAATCTATATTGATTTGTCAGCAAAAATAACAAAATCATAGCAGTGTAGTCGTTAATCTTTTATGAGCTACGTAATTTCCAGTTCCTTCGAAACTATATTTAACATGTATATTATGAAATAAATAAGACAAGTATAATCAATGAAAAATGTTTTATATCCTGTAGTGTATCATAGCCTTGACTATGGTGCTGATTGTAGGGTCAAGGAGTGCACAATTAAGAAACGGGTCTAGGATATCGTATCGATAAAAACTACCTAATATATCAAATATTTAATTCATATAATAATATACTTTATATATATAATACATAATTTAAAGGAAATGTTGTTTAAATCTAAAATAGTTTCACATCGTGTGCAAAACATTAAACATTTTTTAATTTTTCCTGCAAAAAGGTCTGAATTTGAAGAAGAAAATGATTTTTTCGAAAATTGCAATACCCCTAGAAACCAATGGGAATTTCTGTGTTTACCACAAATCAAATTACAGAATATTCTATTCAACCTATTCGCATAGGAAATTTTATTGAATTGAATTCGCTTTTATTTCATTTCTAAAAAACATTTGTAGGCATCTTTAGAATTCAAAATTATTTTTTAGAAATCTTTTAAGTGAGAAACCTCTCCCACTGAACCAACAAGAGATACGAAAAATCATTTCAAAGCCATCTCGAAAAAGGCTTCTCTGCAGAAGACATGTTCCTAAGGTATCAATATTATAAACTTTGAACCTAATCTGTCTACTGGTATTTGAGTTATTACAGATTATATTTTTCACGAAATGTTGCAGCCATTTTAAATCAAGTAGTGACCAGAATCGTTTTTCACGGCAAATTGTTTCAACCACACACGTCATGTCACGTGACGTAAAATTTCAGACACCTGCTGACTTTATATCCCCGATATCATGATAAAATGGACTTTTGGAAGTGTTGATGGTTCACCATCGTAAAGTGTGGCCTTCATACGGTAATATAGCATAAATATATATAAATCGAGTAAAATGATTTGATTAATTACAACTTTAAGCAGTGTCCTATTTCAAGATCAGTATCGATAACTGGTATAAGGAGAATCAGATCGAGCGGTGAAGCGAAATAAAACTTGTTTCAATTTTAGAATATTTTTGGCTCATATCATTCCTTGTCATATGTCTATTTTTAAAGAAAATCTATTTTTCAACAAAAATGGTTACCATTTTTATTATTCAGAAGAACATAAACATTTGCAATAATGTTTTACAGGTAATGCAGCAATCCTTAAAAATTCGATCTATAGTGGTATAAATGAATGAGCAAGGTTATTGGTTAATACTAGTCAATAGGGGTGTGAACTCTGATTTCAAGGTAATATTTGATGTTATACCATGGTCAGAGCAATATCAGGTATTAACAAGCAAGTGATAACTCCCATATTTGGGACAGGGATGATATCAGCATTAGAGAGATGATATCCCGGGTAAATTTAACATTTTCAATCCCGGGTAAATTTTAGATGGTACTTCTAATATTCCATTTTTTGTCTGAAAATACTATGTGCTTGAACTAGGAAAGACTATATAAGACGGTTTTTCACTTAGAAGATCACGAGGTATAAAACCTGTGTACAAAAATAGAGCTGTTATGAAAACGTACACTATAGATGAAAAGATGGTCGAATCAATTATTATCCCAACAAATTAATTAATTCGGAAATGCGCTTTGAATCAAAATAATAGAACAAATCGGACAACGGGGGCGTGGTTAATTAGTAAGATTGTGAGTTTAAATTAACATGCAACGAATCATTCTCACCTATGCATGTTATCATTGAACCTTATCTCCTGTGAACAAATTCTGAGCTCGAATATTAATAACTTTGTTGTAGTTAAACTGTATATTAAAGGAACAGCCGGTCTATCAACAGGGCGGATGTTATGTTGCTTTAAATAACATGAAATCGATTCAGAGACCACTAGAATAGCTGGGCCATCATTATTCCGGAATAGGATCAAAATTGAAAAGGATGTGAATGTTAGCTATGTCAAATGTTATTTATATTCGCAAGGATTGCGATGACATTACTGAAGTGTCAAAGCCATTTAGTAGTTTCAGACCATTTCAAACCTGTCCGTTTTCATGACGTTAACGCATACCCTTCCCAATGCAAACCAGTACACCGTAGGCTTACATCATCCCACTCTTATAGTGAAAAACTGGAGTGACAAACTATATAACTTATATGAACTTACTTGCCGAAACACCTGCTTACATCACAGCTGACTGAGTGAGTGAATGTCAAGATTGGTAATTAAAGAAATATTATAAACTTGGTCTGTTATTCTCACGAAATATTACAGACGGTTCATTGAGTTCGCTTCTTCTGTAACTTTTATTCCAAGAGATAATGAAATTGTAATAATGACTGAATATAACTGACTGGATAGCATAGGTAACCATGCTATATATCCTTGTCGCAGATATTTGTCTCGTAGTGATATGTACCTTACCAAGATGGGCAAATAGCGTCTTGTTTACTTTGGTTGGCTCCTTTGTAATTGTTTGTTTGTGGCACGTACGGATGTAAGGGCCTGTTTTCAATCAACTGGTTGTGCTTTTTGATATATCTCTGTCTTATTGTGTTCCTTTAAGAGTCAAGACCCTCTGCAAGTATTTGCATTATTCAAATAATATTCAATTAAAGTTCTCGTGTTTTTAAATTCAAATTAGACTTAAATAGATTTTTTGACAACTGATTTTCCTTGATAATCTAAGCATTATTGACCGTTACAACATTGTACTCATCTATTTTGATATCTTTAGTCTGTAAACATGAGATTTATTTGTAGCTGATTTTGACTAAAATAAATTCGAATAGTTTCTAACCATTTTTGTTACAAAAAGTTATTGACTGGGTAAAGGTCAAATTATTCAAACCGAAAATTTTTCAAAATTTCACATAAAAAACGTGATGAGCAACTTTTTTTCGAATGTCACATTTTTCATAAATTGTCTCAACAGTTTTTCAAGTCATGAAAGTAAAATTTGAATGATATTCTAAAAAAATTTAAGGGCTTTAAGGAGGTTGGTTTCTAATAGCATCAAAGCATTTTCGTTACAAAAGTTCAGATTGAAAAGAAGTTATTGATGGAGTAGAGGTCACATTATTTCCATCAATCAATTCCATATCATGTTTACAGTTTTGTTATGTCATGCTGTAACGCCTTGGAGTCAAGATTGGGACAAAATTATCCGACAAACTTTGACTGAAACAATCTCGTAAGGGGGCATTTTAAAAGATCGATGTCGGAAAAATATAACTATCTTTATATTCAAAGGGTTAGGACAAGCTTCCCGTATAAAAACAATATGGCGCCTCCAGGTAAGTCTACTGGGTCAGTCTATAGAAATTGGGGGAGTAAATTCCAGTTTATTGAAATCGTCTTGAATATAGAATAATCCATTTACAATGATTATGTAAACGTCAAAAGAGTGAATTACGTGTATAGCCGACGATTTATAAGAATAGAGAGTTTAAGCTTGCATAAAAATCGAAACGCCAACCTATACGTATGGCCAATCGCCCATACAAATGCATCGCTTAAATATTTTCGGTTTGCGTTTAGCTTGTGAAAAAAACATTGCAAGCCTAATCTCCCTAATATAACACTTATGGACTTAAAGAGCTGCGCAATAAATAATGACGTTATGAAACGCTTCATACGGGAATAGTAAACATGCTAAAATTGTCTAATTTTTAACAGATTTTCTAATAAAAGCAGCTTAGAGTCACAAACGTGTGTTGCTTTAAGTTTAAGTTTCCAAGAAAGAACAACAGATCGATTTTTGGGGTATATAAGGATTATTAGAAGTATAGACTGAGCCACAATCATATTTTGTCTACAGTTTATATATCAATTTAAACCAAAAACGACGAGGGCTAATAAGATTCCAATCGGCTTAAATCATCATCATTAGAGATTTTAAGCGTGCAATATTTTTCACAACGTAACCGTGAACTGAAAGTACAAAAATCTATAAAGGAGCGCGCATATTTTTATATGTGCTTTAGTCTACTTCATGTACCCGTTCAGCTTCAGAGTTATGTGTTTAAAACGGGAAATTAGAAATTTCACGTTGCTGTCAACGGGAATCATTTTTGAATACTATGTTGAATACTATGTTGTTAATTTTGATTTCGATGCACAGTTGAATTCTTTCTGAAGAGGATGATGTATGTCATTCATGATTTAGCTCCAAATATCTTACGAAACGAGCTCGTTTAAAATATGTAATTAGAAAATCACAGAACTATCAATGGCATATTACTGTATTTTAACATGCTGCGGTGTCGTCTAAACAAACGCTGGAGCTGAACGGCTATTTCAAGTGAGAAAGCTACGTGCATTTGTATATGGGCGATTTATACGTATACATTGTATATACCATGCTTAAACTCTCTAATGACACCTCTCCAAACGTCTTGAAATAGACGTGTGAAATCCAATTCGCGTCTCATTACCCAAAGTCCCGCAATGATGGGTCATGAATCTATTTTGGTGGATGTCCCGTATTGCATTATTTCCGGAAGACACGCTGCATTTATTTCACATTGCGCAAACTGATTTTGTACATGTATTGAATTTTCTTATTCTTCTAGACTCTCTAAAGCAAGTCGGGTTAATCGTCATCACCAAAGGCTATGGAGTGTGGATATAATAGAACCTCCCATACTGAACAATCAATTGGGAGAACTAGCTATTTATTTGTAAATGAGATCAGAGGTGTAACCAATAGAATATCGCCTACGTCACTACATCATTATATCTTCATGTATTTATGTTGCTTTAATTAAAAAACGTCCTCTTAACTAACTAACATGCGATGGCAACAAATAAGGACTTCACTGAAAAGCGCCGTATTTTGTTGTAAAGGAATATTACTTGCTCACAGCGCCTGTCACAATAACAGTAAGTTCATTTTCTGGTAGACTCAATTTTTAGAACAAAATGTATAATATTAGTATTATACGATATCATCGAATGCATGAATATCTTTTTTAAATATAAACAATGACAACTTATGATTTTCAAAGAATGTCATTTTTTCATATATAGACAGCAACCAAATCCAAGAACGAGAGACCATGGACGATTTTT